GTTTCGATTTACCTCCGATTCCGTATGATTCAGAACGACCCATCTGCTATTTTTATAAAAAAAAAAACTATCACATTACCCTAATAGACTTACAAAACATGTCCAATATCTAAAAACCGTGTGATATCCAAAAATTCATATAAACAAATTTTCAAATTTACAAACAAATCTCCAGAATTAAAAGAAAACCTATTAAAACCCTAAACATGAAAGTGACAAAAAAAATGAAATATTTCACTTTAATTTAGAAGATTCAATTGTGTAAGAAAGAAGAAAACAACTTTTTAATCTTGGACTCTGTTTTTGTTTTCAATGAGATGGAGAATAAGAAGGACGCTGACGAGATGAAGCCTCTATTTACAACAAGATAGAGAAGAGATGCAAAATCCTATCACCTCTCTCTTTTGTTATATATATATATATTTTTTTTTTTTTTTGCAGAGAAGAGAGAGATCCGATTTTTTTTGTCGAAGAGGAAGAGGAAGTTTTATGTTCCTAAACGTGGAGTATATAACTATAGGTTAGAGCTGTTGGGAATTAATTGTTTTGTTGTTGGGTTTATTTAAGGAAAATTGGCATATATAACCTAAAAAAAACTATAATACATAAACTAACCAAATTTTCCATTTTTCTCTCTCTAATTTTCTCTATCTCTCTAATGTTTTACTTAGATTTTAATTATAGTTTTTTTTTTGTTATTGTTGCAAATGACCCTTTATTTAATTGGATTTGTATATCCCTATACATATAAAACACAAGTTAGGGAGAGAGTCCTAAATCACTCTCAAACTTACACCTAAGCTATATTAATACGTGTCTTTACCATAAATTATGATAATATTTTCTTTTGTCATTTTTCTTTTCCAAACTATTTTTTTGCGAAAACAGTTCCCCACGTTCGACTCCCCACATTTGATAAAAAAAACTGAACTATCATCCATTTTTTTCGTTCCCCATTTATCTTCATTTATTTAACTCCTTCATTTAGTCAATCAGAGCACATTGTTTTCAAATAAAGTAAATCAAAAACAATTGTTAAATCCTTTCGACNAATCCTTCCACCATTTTTTTTTTCAGATGCGATGGCACAAAAAAAAAGGTTTCAAACAAACTAAGGTATGATTGTGTCCACTTCTCAGTATTCTTCTCTGCCGTTTTCTTTTCCTACTATTCTCCTATATATTGTGATACTTATAAATTTGCTATTGAACAAACATGTTCTATTATTTTTCAAAAATACAAGTTCATTAATAAGAGCTATGTAATCGTTACTATGATCTTTACCATCAGTTACCATTATTCAATATGATTTTTGGGTATCTATTGTCTATTGATATGAATTATTTTTATTGAAATTATTTTTTTTTTTGCAGGAAACTTTCAAGATAAGAGGTATTCAAAAGTGAAGAAACATGATCAGTTCTATGAAAGTAATGAATTTATTCTCCAATCTTAATCCCTATATATTTACTCAAATGATTTTTCTTTTTGTCAACAACACTCAAATGATTTTTTCAATTAACAATAATGGTAAATAATTACAAAAAAAAAATCATGAGCATAGAAGAAGATTTAAATGGTTTAAATATGCATGTTCAAGATCAAATTTTTTAACACTAATTTTAAAATAAATAAAATGTAACTTTGTCCCAAAAAAATTATGTCCCTGCAATCTGCATTTGCATGGACTT